CAACTAGGGGCTTCTCTGTAAATTATTAAAGTTTAACTTAATGAAATAGAATTAAGGGAGTAAGAGAATGGATTATGTTAGAAAACCTCTCTCTGAACCCAAGTTGTCGCCACCTTCTTCTTCTTCTTCTTCTCTCCTCTTGAACTCTAATTTCTGCTATTTTTTTTGATTTTTTGCAACTTTCTAAACAATCATTTATTCTCAAAGGGTTGTTTTTCTTCTCCATCCCTACTCGAAATCTTTAAGATGTAACCTTTTAGACCCATCTTGATCCTTGATTCACAGCCATCGACGGGAAAGGAAGATGCACTATAGGACACACACAGAGAGAGAGAGAGAATCTGACATAGATAAAAGAGGCAACAGAGAGTTTATGTTGTGTTTTGTATATGTTATTAACTCATTATGTCCATGTGTTATATTTAAGTACCTGTTGTTTATTGGATTTTGAGAGGGGAGAAAGTTGGTCAATGGGATTTTGGTTTTCATTAACCGAGATACTCTTTGTTTTTTTTTTTCAATTATTATATGGATTAATGAAAAATTTATTTTCCTTGTGTACTTATTACTTACCTAGGTAAGTTAAATGATACCCATCTCCCATGCGAGCAATTAATTTTCCCATCTAGGGGTAAGTTGCTAACACTTTGATGAGACAATATTGCTCGTATAACGACTTTTTTATGGTTAAAATGGTCATTATGTTATTTATATGAAAAATAAAAGAATATGGATATATGCAGACATGTTCATTTTTTTAAAACAAATAAATGAACTTAATTTATATAATAGCCCTCCCAAGTTAATATCAGCATCCATGGATCATTCCGGATCCGGTGCGTTTGGATTCAAAGAGATTCCATTAAAATTTTGACACGTCAGTTCAACCAGCCATGACCTGCAACTGATTAAAACTTTATGATTGTTAATAATATTTCTGGATTATTTGTAATTGGCGAGGTTGTGTTACGCTATGGCGACGGAGGGTTAGAGAGAGTAGCGTGACTCGTTCAGGTCCTCACCTAAGGGGGAAGGGGATTGCTCCACCTTGATATCCTCCGGTCATCTTCGCCACCTCCGACATCATCAGCCTCTTCTCCGCTTTCTCTGCCACGCATGCCACCCATATGTACAACATCGCCATCATCTCCTCTTCTATGTTCTTGTACCTCAGAAGCTCCGGGTCAAACACCTCCGCCGTCCACTCATCCCTCACGACCAACTTTACCACCCACTTGGGAAGATCCACTCCCTGCTCCTCCACCCCCCGTTGTCAAATTGGGGAGCGATACTGCAACGAGAGCCTCCCCATCAACACCTCCGGCAGTAAAACCCCAAAATTGTACACGTTTGCCTTCTGAGACAGCCTCTTCGTCTCCCCTGCTCCGACGTGCTATACCCTCCCAATCTCACCATGGCGTGAACTGGGCTCAGAAGTAGAGCCAACCTGAAATCAAAGATGCAAGCTATGCCATTCTTGTCGAGGAGGATGCCATGCGCGTCGGTCTGAGAGCGAAACTGAAGGAGCGCGTCCGTGTCATTGGGGAGCAGAGCACCACTAGAAGCAGACAACAAGTGCAGGAGAGAGACAACAGAGAAGATGAAAGCGAAGGCATGAGCCTGCATTTTGGGCAATGGGCACCCACCTTGCCAAGTTTTTTGCTTTGATTTTGAATCAGGATTCAGGAGAGAAGCAGGAAGATCACTCCGACCACGACGAGTTGTACTTTGTCACAGAAGCCCCTCTCCCTCTATCTCCCTCCCTCTATCAGCGATTTCCGTCTATTTTTGTAGGGCTTTCCTCTCCCGAGCTCCGGCCGTTGTCGACAGACCGAGAGAGAAATCAGACTTTTGGCACACAACATGCTCTCTTGCAACATCGAAGGCATCACAAATGGTTTCCATCTGTGTCTTGAGGTCGAGAAATTTGTGGAGAAGTTGATTTTAGTGTAGAGTTTCTAAGGAACGTATTCCCCAAGATCGAATGGAAGGTTCTTGTCGATGCCGCTCGATCCATGGGCTACTCTCAACTTCCCGACGAGGCCGATTCATTCATGCTTGACTCTGACGACTTCCTGAAGAAATTCCACCACGCCCTACTCGAGCTTCACCTTCTAATCTGCCCGGAGACCGGTCGACACTTCCCGGTCAAAACTGAAAAGCCGTGTCAAAACTTAAACAACCATTCATTTTGGCAGCCATTAAATTTTTATTTAAAAATATTGTTAACAGTTATAAAGTTTCAATCGGTTGTAGGTGATGTACAGTTGAGCATAGATTGATCGCATTGGCAAGACCATTAATTCTTACATAATGGAATTTAGGAAGTTAACCCTAATTTAATACCCCACTCAGAAGATGAATTGGTTAGAGAAATGGGGCAATCCCAATCTTAAATTATAAATAGGTTTGCTTAGGAAGCAAGAGCTCATTTTTTTATTTTTTACAATCACATTACAAGAAGTTCATACACACTAACATTTGATTGCAAGCAACCATAAATTCTTACAAATTTTAATTACTTCAAGAACAAGAGAGAAGAACAAATTTTTTCAAGAAGATTAAGCCATTGCAAAAAGACCTTTCTTGGAAAAACATCATTCACAATTGATCAAGCATAAAGTCTGGAGTGAAGAAATCTACGTCAAATCTTTAGAAGCACAAAAATCAAGGAAATCTACAAGAAGTACGAAAAACACGCCAATGGCCCTTGTCTTCACCAAATTTGATCATTAATTAGAAGTTGTTCATGTTATCGAAAAAGAACTAAAGAGAGTTCCATTCCCTTCTTTCTTTATTGTAAATTTATTTTTGTAATTTGTCTCCATATTTTATGTTAATTAAATATACAACATTTATAGGGTAAATTTCTTAAACTACCTATTATGCTTTAGCTAATTGATTAAATGTATCATTACTGTTTGAAAATTGACTAACGCTACCCTTATTGTTTTTTACAATTGACTAACTCTACCCTTACGGTTAAGGTTTGTTAACGTGACTAATATATTTATCAAAAATTCCAAAAATACCCTTCCCACCTCTATTCCTACAAATACCACATATGTTCCTAAAATACCATCCTAAAACCTTTCCGTTATGGACAGACGATAGATACAGTGGTTTGAGTATGAGTTTCGCTAGAAACCAATAGACGAATGGAGATTGATCAACTTGTTAATCTCCATCTGTGGGTAATGTTTAAAACAAAATTTTACCAAAAAACTTATTAATTGTTGGGGAGAGAGATAATTGAACAGTTGATCCGAAACGGAAGATGATGAATAGTTAATCCGCCGACATCCGAGCCCTCCGTAGATGAATAGTTGATATGAGATGGAAGACGATGAACTGAAAACGATAGCATCATCTCAGGCATCAAAGAGCAGCGGCGAATCTCACCAACGAATCTCAAGCATCAAAGAGCTCACCCTCACCTTCGAGCCCTTCACAGATCCCTGCCATATCTGGCACCACGCGCGCGACGCTTGTCTTCAGTGATGGTTTTATGCTCGGATCTCTTCCACGACTTCAGCTACGGGTTGGTTTTCCACTCGTCTTCAGTGACATGTTACCGGTGGCTATCAGAAGTGGCCGCTCGTCATCCGCGCTTTACTCTTATTAGAGCTCGTCTCCCGTGCTCTACACCGGTAACAACACCTAAAACATGCTCACCAAAGTTGCTATAGTTGCCAAATAGAGCCTTGAGCCCCACCAAGGACTCTGGGTCTCCGTCAGATGCAACTACCGTGAAATTCCTTGGTTATAGTGTTTTACCGTCTACCCTTGTCGCCATTTTAGTCTCACAGACGACGAGAAAATCTATATTTGGAAGACCATTATTGCAATTGATGGGGATTGTGTGTTTAGCAATGCTAGATGTAGCTACTGTGAAAAGCCCCGGATGCAGCTCTAGTTGAGCGTTTTATCGCAATCGATGGGGATTGTATGTTTAGCAATGCTAGATGTAGCTACCGTGAAAAGCCCCGGATGCAGCTGCAGTCGAGCGTCTTATCGCAATCGACAGGGATTATGTGTTTAGCAATGCTAGATGTAGCTACCGTGAAAAGCCCAGATGCAGCTGCAGTCGAGCGTTTTATCGCAATTGACGGGGATTGAAGACTGTCCACGTAGACGCAGATTCTAACCACTCGTTTAAGATTTTCCATTGTCAAATATCTCTAATGAGAGGTTTTCTTGTTGCAAGAATCCTAACCATGGCTCGTTCTCGGGATCCAAGTCTTCATAGTTGTGTTATTCTGCTAATGACGAAAGAGAAGCTAATCTCTCACTCTATCACTCTCTCTCCTCCTCTTCTTCATTATCTCTTCTCTGTTTCATCACTCCTTCTCTTTTTCCTGTGTGTTTTGGCCAGACCAAGCGGCGGAGAGCAGCAACGGATCTATCCTATTCGTCTTGCTGAAATTCTTCGAAAGCCGGTGACCACCGCAACATTTCACGGTTGCTGAAGCTTTCATGTTCTGCTACTCTGTCCATGAACCCAATAACGATGGAAAAAAGGAGAGAGAGAGAAATAAGAGTTTTGTAGCCACGGGAAATAGGGGTTTACCGGCTTTACAGTGGTGGAAGATAAAGAGCGGGCGTAACAATTCCGCTCAGGGAGATGATTGTTAAGCAAAAATATATCTAAAGGGTAAAATAGTCTTTTTATCTATTTGTTAACGGAAAATTAAGAAATGTTAATGGTAAGGAAAGTATTAGTTAATTGTAAAAAGTAATAAGAGTTGTGTTAGTCAATTTTCAAACAGTAAGAATATATTTAATTAATTCGCTAAACTATAAAATTAGTTTAAGAAATTTACCCAAATTTATATTCCCATGCACTTACCTAAACAGTAAGAAATACTAAAACATAATACGGGAAAGGCTTTAACGATTTGATCAATCAAAACCCCTACTTATTTTGATTTTGATAAAAAACAAACCCGATTATTTATAATTCTTACGAGCAAGTTCGATTTTAACTGAAATAATCAAATAATCGAACAGAAATTTCCGTTCGGTTGTTTTGGTTTGGACAAATATCGGTTTCGGTTCGATTTTGAATAGAACAAAACCGAATGCTCACGAATTTGTAAATTGTAAGAGTCTAAACGCAGACGATCCAAAGCGCTTTAATTTGGGTCCCATCTCGGTAGAGAAAACAAAACCCTAATATTTCGAGTTTTAATAACTTCGATCATCGGAAGTTAAAAGAGTTGAAGATTGACACATAAACCGACCTGGATTCAAAAACAAACTCCATTGAAATAGTTCATTGGAAATCATTTGCGGATTGAAGCCCATTTGCTGCAAAATAAGATTGAACTGAAACTCCTCTGTAGACTCTTTCACATCAGGTATGTATTTTATTTCTTACGCATTCTTCTTCTTCATCTGAAACGAAAACTGGCCGTCGACTGTCTTCTTCTTGTAAACGAAAAAAGGGGCTTCGCCCCATCCTCAAACTCTCTTTCTCTCTCCCCTTCTTTGCCTACTCATAGTTGCACCTTGTTACATGTTAGAGAAAAGTTGAGGTTTCTCTGTTCAATTAAATGGTTCTATTGCCCATGTTTTCGCTCTATGCTTCAGTGGTCGTCATTTCTTCTTTCTTCCATTTATTTTCTTTACTTGGGGCAGTCAGTGTTATGGTATATTGTTATACTCTGTATAAACTTGGTTATATTTTAGTGTAACTTAACCTTTTTGGGCTTTGATGCAAGCAACTAGTGGAATGAAAGTTTTGAAAGTCCTCAGACGCTTGAGAAATCGGTACTTTGCTTATAATTGATGATTATTTGTTATTACTTCGTTCACTTTGTAACTTTTAATGTTCACAAATTATTAAATCTGCATTGTTGATTCTGAATTAGATGCTTCTATACATATTATATCGCCAAGCAAAGATAAATAATCATATTAAATTTAAATCATTGCATTATCTTGAAGAATTGGGGTCTACAGTCAGGGGTGCTTAAGGTTAGAGGATTAAGTTGATTTTCCTTTTTTTTTGGTGCTACTGATGGTCTCCCAATCTCATTCCCGGTGTAGACCTCCAAGGTTTTAACACAGTTTCAAGGTTTTGGCCGACAAGCTACATGAATTTTTTTTTGATAAGTGACAGGCTACATGAATCCCTACAAAGTCTCCAAACCAACTTTGCTAAGAGAGCAAGATTGAGGGCTTGTGGATCTCTGACCCCAAATCCCAATCCAACATTTAACTTGTTTTTGCAGATTTGGTTCCAAGGAGTCCATATAATTTTCTTCTTATCTTCAGTGTCCCTCCACCAAAACTTTTTGGAGTTTGACAAAATTACCACAAATTCTTTTTGGGACTAGAAAACAGGACATGAAATAGGTGGGCATTGCAGTGAGCATTTACTGTAGTTCACTTGCTGACCTGAAGTTTTCTCATAGATTGAGCATCCAAGATCACATCTGCTTCTTAGGGATCAGCTTTTGAAAATGCGTAACTATATTTGCAAAGAACTTACTAGGGCACTATACAAATTCTAATGTCAAAAAGAACTTTTCTTTCAACCAAATTATGTGGGATGGCAAAGAATACATTAGAGAGAAGGAGGAAAAGATACAGGAAAAGGTCCCCTTGGCTAATCCCCCTCTAAGGCCTTGTCTTCTTTGAATGAGATCCATTTATGAGGATTTGGTATGGGACTGAGTGAACACAAGTCACGACCCAATTAATCCATTTTTTCCTAAATCCCATTCTTTTCCATTGTCAATTGCAGAAACGTTCACTCAACTCTATTATAAGTCTTGCTTATATTTAATTTGATAACCATGAACCTTTGTTTTTTTGCCTCAGTATGTTTAATATGCATGATTTCATGAGCAAGGGAGATGTTATCACTTATGGGTCTGCTTGGAATAAATACACTTTGAGTGATTGGAATGATCCTCTCTAGAGTTGGCTTAAGTCTGTTAGCTAAAGTGTTGGCCTATTACATAGACTAAGAGGCCTGAAATGGGTCACAGATTCTAGATAGAATGAGAATCTCGTGTTGACATTCACATTGGTTTCTTCTCTTGATTTGTGATCAATGGTTATTGACATCTCAATCTCCAACATGTTGTTCATCTATCTGCTTCTTATTGTTTCAGAATGTGATGTCCCCTGCTTCGTACTTTTTGTAGTTTCTTTGGTGGAATATTGAGTGCAAGTAATTGTGAATCTGATATTGAATGGATAAAGTTTTGCATTCAAAGGTAGATAAAAAATAAATGTATTATATAATCATTACCAAACTGTACCCTTTTATTCTTGTAAAAGATATATGAAACGGTACTGGGTTTTACCTTATACAAGGTTGGAAATTAAACAGTACCCAAAAATCACTATCAGGAAACAGATCTTCTTTTAGAAAGCAAATTATAATTGGACTCTAAAGGATATATACAGCAGAACCCATGTTAAAAGGATAACTATACAGTGGAACTTCAGTCTAGAGAAGAGTATTGATTGGGCATATGGATTGCTTATGCGTTAATTTAACTAATCATGGCTTGAATTGACCATTGCTTATATATTGTGTGTCAATCAGTTTCAAGAAAACCAAATGCGGGAAAAGAATTTCAGAAAACGAAATCTTGAAGAAGAGGAAAGCGTGGAATTAGAAGATGAAGAAGAAAGGAGGTCTTCTAGACCATTGATTTATCAACTACTCCATTTTTTTCTTAGTTTTTTGCAAAATGTTATATGGTCAAATCAATGATTTGCTCAGTTACTAGGATTATTTGAGCAATATAAGTTACAGGAAAAGAAAGAAAAATGGGTTATTTAGTTTAGTCTTTTTGTATTAACTGAACTTGAAAAATCTTGTGCCTTTTAACCACTGTTAAAGTTTTAATCATAGGAAAACTTGCTCTTCTGTTTTATTATTTGTACCGATAGAGATTTTTAACAATGCTATCTTTTTCCCTGTATAACTTGTATTCAGATTGACATTGGAGGAAGTGAAATTCCTTCAGAAACAAAGGGAGAGAAAGTCAGGGATCCCTGCAATTCCAAACATACAAAAGGTTGGTATTGTTCCAAAATCAAGTGAGAAGAATGAAGGAGATGGAGAGAAGGATGAGTTGGTGTTACAAGACACTTTTGCTCAAGAAACCGCTGTTATGGTTGAAGATCCAAATATGTAATTCTTTTCTCTTTCTCTTTTTGTGTTCCTTTTTAAGACTGTTAATAGTTTCTGTATTTCTTTCATCACATAACTTAAATTCTTTCAGAATTAGAAGTTTGTGTACAATGAACTGTAAAAACAAGTATCATGAAAATACAAGTTCATGGAGTTTAGCAGGTAATTAATAAATTAATTTGGCTATTCACCTTGGTTGATTTCAGAAAGTCCCAAGTTTTAATTTTAATTTTGTTGTGAGGATTATTTAATTGTTATTTTATAGTTGCTGTTAGTGGGTTGTCCGCTTAAGATGCTGTCAATTAGTTATTTTCTTTCCTTCTTATTAGTTTGTTTCTAGGGAGTGCC